GCTTGATTGGGTTTTACAGAAAGGTAACAGGCCAGTCAGTAAAGCCTGTCAAGTCTTACTTATATGGACTATAAATCCATCTCACCAACACTGGTAAATTACAGTGAACGCTATAAATAAAACATGCTGTCTATTATCATCGACAAGGTTCCAACCATCCAACTATGCACAATGCTGTACAGAGAACTGATCACAAGTAAGTATCACTACTTTACATGNCTGTCAAGTCTTACTTACGTATATTAAAGCCCCAAATATTACATAATCGTATTATTTTAATATTCTGAGACACTTTCCTTAAAAGAATCACCATTAAGTTGTTTTTAATGCTTTTCTGATGAGCACTTGAACTTAATGGTGATTCTTTTAAGGAAAGTGTCTCAGAATATTAAAATAATACGATTATGTAATATTTGGGGCTTTAATATACGTAAGTAAGACTTGACAGGCTTTACTGACTGGCCTGTTAGCTTTCTGTAAAACCCAATCAAGCTGTTTTTACAACCGTGCAATTGTCTGACGAATGAGCTGAAAGACAAATGACAACTTCTCGTCTGTACACAGGGTGAAGGGCAAACCCTGCTGCCCAAGAATTAATATGGATGTGGGTCTGTAGAAGACTGTTGAACAAATGTCAGAGGAGCCACAACTGGACGAAAAACCCTGACGAACAATTAACAACTCACGGTTACACGTTGGGAGCTTCCTCTTCGCTTTACTTTAGAATATTGTGAGAAGCTTCTGTTCCACATTGTAGATTTGTAAGTTGACATCTACTCTACTCTGTATTCTCGCCTCATTTTATTTTCCTTAAATGGGAGCTAATGACTGTGAAACCCTGCTCAGCTCTGCAGTGGTCATTAAAGGTCAGATCTCCAATATCTCCCACCCAAGCATCGCAGTGTATCAAAGAACAAGTGGAAAACTGCAGCATATGGCAGCAGTCCCAGGAGATAATTATGCACCGTAGCACAATCGATTCTACTTACAAAAAGTTGGCAGTATCTGTTACAGTTTGTTAATGAGTTTTTTAATCGTTGAATGTTATAGTTACCACAGTTAAGGTAGTTGCTTGCGCAATTTGGGGAACTCAATGTTTTTTTTAATTCATGTTTCAGGTGCCTCACTCAAAAGCACAGTTTAATTTGATTGCAAGACAGTAAAACAGGTACATTTCAAATCAAATGGTCCACAATATAGAGCTTGGGGATTAGCATTTTGTCGAGCTGGCTGCCAACAATAGGTAGAGGTAGAAAGGAACAAGGAAGGCAAGAATCAGATGGTAAATAATGATGTAACCAAACAGCAGTTATAAATGGTAAATATTTGAAGTATCTGAGATATCTGCCTTGCCTTTTATCCAAAATGTACCACACCACTGTAAATTAAGAATGCATTGTTTAAAATTGAACAAAGTGGTGTATGACTGTCGAAGTAAAGGTAAACTGCCAATTGCTGTAATGCCCCTTTCACACCAACGCGGTTCCCGTTCTAGCTCCATGCTAGAGCTTTTCTGGTTCGGAACCGGTTTATCTTTTCAGCCCTTGTTTTGTTCACACCGCCCGACTGGTGCTGCTGCGTCATGACGTCACTGTTTACGTCGCTGATTTTCTCCCCTACGGCGTTACGGCGCTCACTACAACAACAATGGGGGACTGCGTAGGGTCGATGATCGTGTTGCTTTTAATCATGCGAAGCCAGATTAAATTAAATAACGACTTCTCCAAGCTTATACTTTTCTCCAGAGTGCCGTGGTTCATTGTTTATTAATGTTTTTCAGCGGCATTTACCGACCACTGGAGTTTATTCTCCCGTTAGCTCCGGGTTAGCTTTCATGGCAGCGGCCGCCGTAAAGTATTCACTGTCTGACTGTCACACAAGCAGCTGATACATATCCCCAATTCCCCATAAGTGAATTCGGATTCCGGAGCTTAAAAAACCGGTGCTTTTCAGGCTCTAGCTCCAAACCGGCCCTGGAACCGCGTTGGTGTGAAAACCCCATAAGGGGAGTTTTGTGACTTTCCGTCAGTATAGTAATGTATGGTTATTATGGTTACTATGGGTTGTAATGTTTTAAAAAGTTGTAGGAATACATTCCTACTTGAAATATGTTAGAGGGTATCCTTTTGGATTTCTTGAAATAAAAATGTTCATCCTTCAGTTTACAGTGAAAAATGAAAAACTGCAAATGACTACAGTATATACGTTTTTCACCACATGATATACAATGATATAATACTCAAATCAGTGTTTGCCATGGTATTCCTGTTATTTTATAATACTATAAAGCACATTGGGATGGGAAAAAATGATTTAGGCAGTTTCAAATACTGGGACTGTTGTCCTGCAAGTGCATCAACAAACAACGTGGAATGTCATTTTTGCTCATATTTCTAACCATGTTTGCTTTCTTTTGTTTGTCTCTTGCAGCTCAGCAGATGAGAAATTTCGCTGGAACAACCAAGGTAATTTCCTCTCAAATCCGACATATTGTCTGGTCCTCTATTGTTTGCAATACAGCACTGCTCACGCTGAACATTGCTGACTGAGCATTATTATATTGCTGGCCATTGTAAAAGTTCCCCAGCATGCACTAACAACATATTGATGCAATTTATTTATGAGAACTATGGTGGCTGCCTGCAATGAAAGCCAAATAAAAAAAATGTTGCTCTAACAAAAATAAATAAACCCTCCTGTCTCTCAAATTCCCTCACCTTATCCGACAGCTAAGTAAAGGTCAAACAGCATTTGCAAATATTCATAGTGTTTCGTTTAAACTGTTTGGAGAGCCATATGAGAAGTGTTTTTCACACAAGAGAAAACAAGAATCAATGAGTGTGAGGCTTTTCAGGTGATTTGCAAGTCAAATGAAGACACCTCTCTGGGCCTGACATCTTCTTTGACAGCATTTTAGATGAAAAAACCCGCCCATACATGACACTAAGGTCTCTCTCTCTTCCTCTTTGTCAGTCATGTTGGGACGTATAGGCTGTTGAGGCTAGATTGATTATCTGAGTGCAAGGTTGGCGACCTCTGCCAACAAAGAGGTGACTAAAGATTCTTGGTCAAAATGTTTCAAACTGAAGGCTTTCAGTGCTGCTGTGGTTTTCATCCATCTGCTGCACCTAAGCCTGACCACCAGGAATCAGAGAGACTAAATTGACTCTGCCACGAAAAACCTCCTGAATTTCAATCAGACTTTTTGATCTTGTCATCGCGATTCATTAAAAACCCATCGCCTCTGGATCAAGCAGGTTTAAAAATGACTTTTGACTTGTGGGCGTGAGGGTGAGAGTAAATCCAGCCCAACGATGCAGACAGCATTGGAAATGTTTCACCAGCATCATCAACATCATCAGTCTGCAGTTGCTGCAGTCGAAGTCAATAAAATCAGCCTCCTAAATCCACTCAACAGTCCTCTACTATTACAATCTCTGTCTCCCAAAAAGAGATTAACTCTTCTCCTCAGACTCATTTGTGAGTTGAATCCTTCGTGGCAGGCCTATAACTGGAAGACCCTGAGCATCAAACGGCCTGGGATCTAAGTACAAGTCTTTCCCCCATAGACCCAGATCCCACAAGACTTGTTGCTGGATTATCAGTCAAGTTTTTTCGCTTCACCCAAGGTTCATCCTTACGCATTACTCATGTGATGAGACAAGAGTGAGGCCACTTTTTAGGTTGCTAATCAGCCTGAAAATAATTAATTTAACTTGCATGGTGCATCTCAACTTGTACTTTGATTGGTGTAAAAGGATTTTCAACAGTATAGGGAGGGAAAGATGTCCGGTAGACTCCCTATAAGTATTTATTTGCTTTTTAGTGACTTGTAAAAGTATAACAATGATCTTATATGAATCAGAGGTTTTAAGTGTGGTATAATAAACTTAAGAATGAACTCCAAAACGTTAAGTCTTTGAACCTTGGGCTGTCTTGCTTGGTATCCAATCATTGTCATGAAGTCTTGGATTGCTTGAAACACTTTATATTGGTTTTCTCAAAATAGGTTACACATCTCAGAATTAAAGCAACATTTCAGTGGTGTTATCGATATTCTGGGACAGATTTTTATTTATTGAAAAAAAGCAACTTGATTTTTATGGGGAATTTTGTCCTGAAGGCCCAAAGTAGCTACCTGTTCATGAATTAATAGAGACTGGATTTCATGACCAAATGTTTCTGCAATGTTGTTAATTCTGAGCCTCTTTTAGCTAACTTATATTATAGTGTAAAACAAACAAACAAACATGTAAATTGTAATTTACTTAAGTAAAAGGTGTTATTATTGGAGTTATTTTAATTTACAGAATGCTGTTGTGGACAGTTAGCAGAGTTAGCTCCCACACATTCTTTCAGACGTTATTACCTTTTGGTGATCCTGCACCTGAAAATATCATGCTGCATCATTTGCTCGTGTTTCACTTGTTAACAACTCCCATTTTGCATTATCCCAAATTGGATAAATTGAGCCATGAGTCCAGCTTAAGTCTCATGACTCTGCACTCTGAAGGTTGTAATATAAGGTGTCTTTGTTTTAACTTTTGTTCCTTTTACCATTTTCTGTGTGTGCACATGTAGATGGACACAAGGATATCGAGGAGGAGCTGACGACAGGCTTGGAGCTGGTGGACTCCTGCATCCGATCGCTCCAGGAATCAGGCATCTTGGACTCGCAGGACACTATTGGAGACAGTAAGGCCAATAATATGATTACGAATGTTTTCTTCAAGGGATAATGAAAAAAGTAGTTTTCTTTACTTCTTGACAGTTGAGAAAAATGGCTTAAAAGAGAATAGGTAAAATGCAATCAGGGACCTGCAGGGTTAGATATTCTGCAGAGATGTATGCTCCACGTTTGTGCTGATTAACCTGTTGAATGTGTGTGAATTCACTTGAAAATGCTGTTCACAAAGGAAGCCTGCACCAAGACTAGTGAGCAATAAAGCATTAAAGCGTCTTTTAAGACCTTCATTGAATACATGGAAAAATAAGACAATTAGGCCCTTTATTTTATTTAATCAAGCCACATTATTTCAGCTAAGTACTTGCTCCAATTCACACATGCTAACCAAAGGCTGAAAGAGTGGTTGTCTTTCATTGGATTTCATCACATTTTCCAAAAGTGCACCATGAATTATTTAATGATTTTAAGTGCAAGTATAGTGTATAAAGCGGTTATCAACATACTCTATAGCCTACTTGTTGTCTTTTAGTGTGTCCAGCTTATTTACATCTTATCTTGGATTTTATATTGATTGAAAATTATTTTTCAGTTGTTTGGTCTGTTTACCTCTAGTAAATGTTTACAATCATGCTAATGAGTCCAGTTAATAATAAATGTAATTCAAATGTTTTAGTACATTTTCTATTACTATGCTCCACAATATCTTTCCCATGTTATGGTTACCAGATATGTAGTATTGAAAAGACCAAATGCAGCTTTCATAAGGCCACCAATACTGAACCAGTAGCCTACTCACAAATGCTAAAGCAACATTTTTAAGCTTGTATACCTGTATAATTACCTTAAACGTGGACCTAAATCTGACTTCAAGCCACTTTTGGGTACACAAAAAGCTCTAAACACAACAAGTACATGTTATCATCTTAAAAACACATATGCCAAGAAGTTGTCGATTTACAAATCCAGCAGCATTAGCATTCATTGCCGCCATAATTCTTCAAACCAAATGATGAACAGACCAGTATTTACTCTTGCTGTGTTTAGTCTCCACCAACATCTAAGGGAAATATTAGGTATCTTTAGGTTGAGAGTGGTAAGAGTTAACTAATACAGTTTATAGCCTTAGAACTTTGATGGAAATGATGGTACTAAAGCTTAATACAGTGTAAACCTAATGAAATGTAAACTGCTGTATTCTGAAAATGTCATATCAACGGTTTGACTGATTAGGTCAAATCCCTGGAGTGACCTTTGAATGTGTGTGAGTGATCAACAGATGTTTTTGCAAGGGGTTTTTATGACACTACAGGAAGGATGAGGGGAAGGAAGTTAGGATAAGGTGTTATCTGTATCCCTTTTGCTCTGTATTGAGTGAAGGTTTTGCATACAGTGCCAGGGGGTCTCAGCTGGCCTAACCAAATATTGTTTGTAATGTAACTAAGCTTTGATGTCCTCCTATAAAGGAGAGACTGTTTCACTCTGAACAGTACGTGCTCTTTTGGAGGAGACGTCATACTTGCAAGTATAAAAGATCCTTATTGCTTTTAATATGAATATTGTGTTGCTGTACGTTTGTTACCTTACCGATTATTCTCTCTAGACCACAGCTGATTTTAAAGCTGCTACGACAGAGCCAACAATTTATTTTGTCTGGAGCCGCAAAACATATTTGATAGCTTGATAGCTTATAAAGTTGTATTTATTGTTATATCAGACTACAGATTTTTTGCATTTATTATTTATTAGATTATATAAAACTGTTAACCTCTAATAAGAAACAAAGAATTCTTATAAGGAGAATAAAAGAAAACACACAGGCCTACTTTAAAATAAATTAAACGCAGCACTTGGGTAGTCCTCTGCACATTTGAAGGAAAAAAATAAACTGCACCCTAAAAAGAGTTAACCAATAGAATTACGACTGAAGATCGTCAGCCGTCTTCCTCTACCATTTTTTTCCNCAGTGTCTTCGGCCATCCTAAATGTTTTTTTTATTTCATATTGCATTAACACCATATCCCAACGTGCATTGCGGCTAAAACATCCAATCACCTAGCTTCAACCATAGCTGAGGATCTTGGGTAATCAGTTCAGTGGCTGTGTATCGCAATGATGCTCGAAATGTCCCTTATAGGCCTACGTCTGTTTCCGGTGACTTTATTTTGAAATTCAGTTCCTGACGGACGGCCAAAAAGCCAGAGATTATGGAATTAAACAAATAAATAAAAACAAGGATAACTGTGTGTTATTGTTGAGTAAATAACAGTGTGTTATTTAGAAAATAATAACAAATTAGAAGGAAAAAAGATAGAAAAAATACAGATTTCAGTTTTCTGAGGCTCTGAGCCCCATTTATTTTCCTCACGGACGGCAAAAAAAGTCAGACATTATACGTTTTAAAATAAAAACAATAATCGTGGCTTGATATTGAGTAAGAACATGTTTTTATGAGCCACACAGCTTCCGGTCTTCCAAGACCCGACCGGACAAAAAGACGTGCTGCAGGCACGAAACACATACTAATAGAAATACATTGCTTTTAAAATCGTTCTGTGTGACACGAAAAAAATGGGAAAATCGTGTTGGTGAACACGAATCAATAGATAACATTTATTTCGTGACTATAACACGAAATGCGGTGAGACTGGGTTGTATGGTCACATTGATCATTACACACCAATAGATCCTTGATTTAAGACAAAAACAAGCTTCCTTATTCTAACCTGCAACTGTCATTTATTCCAGCTTAATGACAACATTCACTAACAGATGTTATCAGCTTTAGCTAGCTAGTTGATCAAGCTAACGTTAGCACCATTAGTTTTTTAAAAGAGCGGTCTCCTGGTGACTTTTTAATTTTTCCATTTTAATCATTCATACATTTAATTAATTTGCTGAAAACAAACAATGAACACTAAGAAAAATCACATTTTAACAGTGATTATAATTCATTATATGTGCTATGATTATTCTTATAAATCATTATGCAAATTCACGAGTGCTTTAAGCTAATTCTAAGACATTTCTTATGTATGTTTTTACTGCATTACATACATGGACAACGACCATTAAGTACTAGAAATTAATACTACGACTTAACTATTTAATTCTAGTAAGGATACACTTCCCCACATCTAATAAGGAGCAGGAGAGAGAGCTAACATTAGGCTAAATGCTAATAACATGCAGGATTTTCTCACACACAGTGGATGTGCTGTATGTACATTCATTATTTTCTTCAGCACAAACTAGACAGCCCCAATTGTATTCTTTGCATGAAGAGACTCTATCTTCCAACAGACACAAGACATCCAAATACAATATAATACTTGAGATTCCTATGCTCTGATTGGATGATCGATGTAGAGAGAAGGGGCTTAGTAAAGACATTAGTTGGGCTATTTTGCCCTCTCTCTTTCTTGCCTGTTTATTTTCTTGCTTATTGGTCTATTCCCCTCTGTCTCTTGCAGGCATATTTGCTCTTCTTTTTTTATTAGTCAGGTGGTCGGTTACATAACTGTTATTTAAACATTAAAAACATCAAAAAAAAATATTATTCCTAGTTCTGCATGCGTGTGTATGCCAGTTCTTAGCTTCAATAGCACGTGTGACTGAACAGGCAATGCATGGGGGCCTGTACACTTCTGGGATTTTCTTCATGCCTCATATGTAATTGTGTATGCTTGTCTGTCTACAGTATGTATGCACATGTATGGCTTTATTCGCATGTCTGTATGTGTGTGTGTGTGTGTGTGTGTGTGTGTGTGTGTGTGTGTGTGTGTGTGTGTGTGTGTGGTTGGGTGGGTGTGGGTGTGTGTGTGTGTGTGCCTCGCCTCACTGCACTGTGAACAGCAGGCCAGCTGACACCTCAGTGAGGGTGGATTAGCATATCAAACTACTGGCACGTCTCTGCATGTCTCCTGACAGCTACCTCTCTCCCATGGGGTTGCCTGTACAAGAGTCATGGGTATCATCCCAGGGACCAAGTTACAAAAGAATAGGGTTCGGCAGAGAGGCACGCCGTTGTTCAAGATCTCACAGAGAGTGTATAAACAATTCCTTTAAACTCTGAAAATAAAACAACATTGCATCAGCTGTGAAACCAATTTTTTTTACCATCTAAGTATCGAAACTGTGTTGTCTTTCAGTTTTTTTGTTTTGGTTCTGTCGTAGCAGCTTTAAAATCAGCTGTGGTAGAAAGAATAATCGGTAAGGTAACAAACGTACAGCAACACAATATTCGTATTAAAAGCAATAAGGATCTTTTATACTTGCAAGTATGACGTCTCCTCCAAAAGAGCACGTACTGTTCAGAGTGAAACAGTCTCTCCTTTATAGGAGGACATCAAAGCTTAGTTACATTACAAACAATATTTGGTTAGGCCAGCTGAGACCCCCTGGCNACAATAATCGTGGCTTGATATTGAGTAAGAACATGTTTTTATGAGCCACACAGCTTCCGGTCTTCCAAGACCCGACCGGACAAAAAGACGTGGTGCAGGGCCTGCACCACGTCTTTTTGTCCGGTCGGGTCTTGGAAGACCGGAAGCTGTGTGGCTCATAAAAACATGTTCTTACTCAATATCAAGCCACGATTATTGTTTTTATTTTAAAACGTATAATGTCTGACTTTTTTTGCCGTCCGTGAGGAAAATAAATGGGGCTCAGAGCCTCAGAATACTGAAATCTGTATTTTTCAAATATTTTTTTCCTTCTAATTTGTTATTATTTGGTGCAGGCACGAAACATACTAACAATAGAAATACATTGCTTTTAAAATCATTCTGGGTGAAACGAAAAAAATGGGGAAATCATGTTGGTGAACACTAATCAATAGATTACATTTCGTGACTATAACACGAAATGCTGTGAGACTGGGTTGGACCATAATCAGCATTAGCTAAGATTACTGTCAATTTTGAGTTGTAAGTCTAAACCTGTCAAACGGTCAGGTAAAAAATGCATTTGGAACACTTTCTACTTAATGTACAGTTATAAGCAGGTAAGCATAAAAAGAAGGCTTAAAGCATGTATAACTAGATACATACACACACCTAAAAGCACACACCACACACACCAGCAGCAGCAGCATCCACTTCTTCACTCAAGCTGCTGAGCAGATTAGTGCGCCACTGCAACAGAGTGCCTTCATGACTTCACGCTGGTGATGCTCTCCAGTGTGCATGTTAATCTGTGTGTATGGGACTATGTTGCATGTAGCTATTTGGGACTGAGCATGCCCTTTTGTGTGTGTGTGTGTGTGTGTGTGTGTGTGTGTGTGTGTGTGTGTGTGTGTGTGTGTGTGTGTGTGTCTGCTCCAATACCGTATCTAAAAATAGCTACTGATGAAATATTAAAATGTGTCAATAGAGAACGCTGGTCACGATGCAGAAAAAAGCCACTCAACAACTTTAAGTGTGTGTTTGTGTGTGTGTGGCATTGTTGGGGAGGGGGGGTATGTAATGGCAGAAGAGCAGATTAATGAGCCCGGACAGGTCTATCAGCGTTAGGCCATCCAGAACTGCATGCATGCAGGTATAAATGCAGATGTGACGTGTGTCTATGCATGCGTTCACGGTGAAGGAATGAGCAATATACAGTGTGTGTATGTGTTCACTGACGTTTGGACAGATATTTAAATGCACAGGCAGAGACCCTCTTATGGCACCCCATTACTTTCCTTCCAATACACTAATAAAGCACTTTCTACACATACACACACATTCCCTCACTCTTCCACCTCAGATGCATTCAGTGGAGCCTTCAGTGTTTCTGCCATCTGAGTGATCATGTATTTATGAGGCCGCTTCACTCCCTTAAGGCCCCAGTACCCACATGAAACACACCTAAAGTGGCAAACAAAAATGGTGGAAAACATCATCTGGCTTTGTGCACAAGTCTGGGTTTATGTGCATGTGAATCCGTCTGAAAAAATGTGTGGACTACAAATTCCTCCACTCCATTATGGCTTTTTGTTCACCCATGTACCCAAGACAAACATATATCAGACAAAGAGGCATTGACCTAGTAAACGCAACGAGCACCCCTTGGCTTAATATCACATTTTAAATAATGCAAAATCACCAGCTTCACTGCCTACAGGATCCATTTGCTGTACTTTTAATGGACTTTTCACTTTGGTCGAGCTTTGTTTTCTAATGCCCTTATCCAGAGTGACTCCATTTGCTGTTAGCTGCTGACTTTATCTCTCCAATGCAGTTGATATTGACCCCCGGCCCACTATGATTTTTCATTCTTTCTTATTTAATCATCGCAAAGACGGACTGTTTCAGCTCGTCTCGTACAATGTTTGATTCTTGGAATGCTGGCAAAAAAAGCGATACAGTGGAGATTAAAGGGGCAGCCACTGTTGATGGAGGACAGCTCAAGAGCTCCTTTGAGAGAACAAATACTGAGTGCGAGGAATTTATAGTCCTATTTAAGAACTGATGTAAGGCTGTAAAGTTAACGTAAGTTGTTTGACAGAAAGGCAAACAGATGTAGATGTTTTGAAAGTTGCTGAACTAATCTTATACTGAGGGACATTTTGTTTCTGTAATTAAATGTGTAGATGAGGCATATCAATGCTATCATCACCATTAGTGAATTAATCAAAGGTGCATCAAACCTTTTACAGGATCTCAATAAGAGGGATGGGAGAAGTTCGACCCGCCTGTCCACCTCAAGTGATTCAATTTAGCTCACTTCAAATTTTAGGGACGATCCAGGCAACGCTAAAAACTAACTGTCTGAAAAACATTGTGTGAATGCTTCGTCATGTGTTCCATGAATGTGCTGTAATCACATAGCATACTCTGACAAATAACACAAAAATGCATGCTTGTGTAATGTGTCACAGCATTTGCCTGTTTGCATGTTGACGCAAGTAATTAAATGATCCGTGTACAAATCACCAGACTGCAAATGCCTCGGAAACAAGAATGTGGCTGCGTGTGAAATTAGCAATGAAGCGTTTTGTCACTTTATGCTTTTTTGCTATTGGCTATGTGTTTGCACACATGTGTCATCATAGTCAGCCTCATCTGTGAAGCTACTGTGAATCAGTAACAGCGACACACATGATGAGAAACTGAAAACTGTGCACCCAGAGAAAAACTAATCACATCCCTTTTCAGACATTAAAGCTAATACTCCTGAGGCAAATGTGACTTTTGATCAGTCTAAAAGTAACCGTTGACATAGTGACTGATTTGAAGGCTGACCAGCTCACTGTAGGTTTGTCCAGCTGGAGTCTGGCCGACCGATCTCTGGTAGATGTTGGAGGAAAGCCTGAATGTGGGTATAGTAGAGTAAGATTTGTTAATAAAAAGCAGCTCATCAGGGAGGTTAGTGTCAGTGATTCTCACACTTGAATTCAAACACGACATTACAACGTGTAGAAGCTGTGTAATGAGCCAGGAACTAAGCTCACTTGTTGGTAATGTTTCAGAAAATGGAAAAGATTAATGTACCTCTTAAGGAATCTTTTACTTTCTTTCATCCTTACCCAAAAGCCTGCTTTATATCTCTATGTAATATGAAGTATGTGGAGGTAGGAAATTGGCGTACTGCATGTCTAATATTGGTATTGCAAGTAAACAGTCAGTGTGGCAGAGGAGAGACAGAACGTTTTGGCAGAAATGCAATCTCGCTATTGTCCAATGATGGATGTTGAGATTCGTTTTTTCTGTAGCAAACACATAACCTAAATGTATACTAGCTACTTGTGAATCAATTTAGTCAAAGTTATCGCTTAACTCCACCGACAAAATGTTTGCGTCTCAACTTGTCAATGTTTCGGAATGCAATGACCGAAAACAATTCGGACAAGGTAATCGTTATTCTTGGTCTGGACCTCTAGGGTACATTTGTTGTCAATTTGGGTAGCTCTACGCGTCAAATCCTGGTAATCCATTATAGTAATTATCACAGTGAAACCAAACGAAACTCCTTACCTGGGTTAAGTCAAATGTTTTGGTTTGGGTTGAAATAATCAGAATGTATTAATAACTTTTAGTAAAATGGCTCGAATGACATTTGGTTCCACACGGGACAAAAACAGCTACATCAACAGTGGGTCATAGTCCTGTGTTTGTTTGACCCAACCAACCAACCCAATCATATTGCTTCCACATTGTAGTTACTTGAAGCCTGATGCTTCTCATACATGTACTAAATTGAGTCAATATCACAAACCGAAGGCAGTGACCAAATGTCTGTTGGACAGTCGGAGACTGAGACCAAGCTGGTAATCAGAAATCCTGTTGGCTACATCTTACTACTGAAATGGCTAAATCAGACCAATAGCCAATGGTTTGCGTGATTTAATTACACAGTATGTTTAAGTTTTGTGAAGGTCACTGTCATACATTATTGTCCAAGAGACATACTAGATTTTGGACCATGACCAATCATAGATTATAATATGATTTACTGCATCATTAATTACAGTGAATCCATTGAAAGTAGTTCGCTTAAGTCAGAAAATGTACCGTCCTGGTGTGGTGTAAGAGATTAGTCAATGCTCTACTCAAGGGGAAAGAAACATATCTTGAAATGCATATATTTTGTATTACTATACAAATGTTTTTTTTTATCAAACCACTTTTAACATTTATATTTAAAAGGGCATACATTACCCTCTTCAAAGAGAAATTATTAGAAAGGATTTCAACACATGGATGAGTTAGTTTCTGCAAGATTATTAATGTGAGTCTCCTGCTGAATTATTGAGAAAAATATGGAGTGGAGATAGAGAAAGACAGAGAATAGAGAGCGGTAAAGGAAGTGACAGAGGCAGAAAGTGAAAAAAGGAAGACAGAGCAGGAGTGTTTGAAATGGAGGTCAGGTTCCGAGTGTGATTTACAGAGCATGAATAGAAAAGAGTGAACAGAGGCCAGAATAACAGAGCGGGTAAAAAGCAAATATGTGTCTCATAAAAGAGGACAAGGCCTTCTATTTTATTCTATGACAGCATTCAGTCGTCTTTTATATTCTTAGCTACTGTTCAAGGTCTGTTGGAAACTGAGGCGTTATATTTGTTGGATTCACATTAATTACCACATTTTGTAACACGTGGGATGAAAACTGGGATACAATAACATTGAGGGCCATGGACAGAAAGAAGCTTCACACAACTGTTACAAAAGGAGAATGTGTCCAAACAAATGCTTCTTAAGGTGGATTTTGAAATAAACTGTGTTTCATGTGCTGTTTACACGGGAACGAAAACGGGTTGTATCCGCTACTTTTCTCTGTCGTATAGCCCGTTTGTTCACACGAGGCCGTAACGGAAACGCGGAAACGGACCCCTGAAACAATAACGGTTCCCAAGGTGGATAGATCTGCAGACGGAACGCTCTGAGGGGCCAAACGGCTCCGTGTGTACGTCCTATATGATCATTTCCTGATAACGATGAAGCCCCGCCTCTCCCCACCTCTGCTGCTCACTGCTGTAGCATGGTCAGTAGCTACTGTCAGCTACTGTCAGTAGCTACTGCTACTGACCATGCTACAGATGTTAGTGGACATAGAGAACTACATGAACTACATGTAAATCCACCGCGGAGAATAAACTGAAGGGCAACCACGGCAACCATGCTCAGGGGTTTTCTTCGCTGCTTTTGGTGTATTTTGTGTAGTACAGCGCTTTCGAGCGGTCTCGTGCGGAAGTACAGCGCCACTTACAGGCCCGGCATATGTACTACAGCGTCTCCAGCGCTTTCGAGCGGTCTCGTGTGAACGGAATACTTTTTTGATATCGTATTCGGTTAGTTTGCGTTTGCGTTCCCGTGTAAATGGGGTCTCAAACCATGACATTACCTCATTTAACCTCCTACCCCAAATCAAAACCCCTTTAAGCTCTGAAATGTACTTACATTTTCATCGAATGCTTTATTGATTCTTCTCTTCCTGTTCTTTTCATCATTAGGACAAGGACTTCTGTCCCAAAGCGCTTTGCAGCTCAACCACCAGGATGCCTATGCAGCAGCTGGTTACCATAGTAACCACGGTCTTGCACTTGGGGAATCGGTCATGGGCCGTGGCGGGCAGATTGGAGGGGCTGTTCACAGCTACAACCAGGTACACACGTACACCTATTTTTTTTACACATATCAGAAAGACATGTATTCCCTTGTGTATTTTCTCTCCACTTTAAATGTTCCTGCTTCCCTCATTTATTTCCCTCCTCTCCACGCCTCTGCTTCTATATCCTTACTCTCTCCATTCACACTTTCTCCTCTACTTCATGTTTCTATCTTTTGCTCTACCCACACCTCTTTGTGCTCTCTTTGCCCATTCTCCTGATTTCTTTCTCTACCCTTCTTACCTCCTTTACATTTTGTCCTCCACACTCGCTGACTGAACCCTTATCTTCCTCCCGTTTCTCAACTTTCTCCACACTCTTGTCCTCTCTAGGTGACATCCAGCCGTGCAGCTGCCCACTTAGTGGGAACTGACTCTCCCTCCCAGTCACAGAGAGACTCATTTGCCCATGGCAGCGCCTTCCACATGCCCGCTGATGGATCTTCACCTGGCGGACCACCCATGTATTACTCCTGTGCCACTTTGCCCGCACAGGTACAAATATCTGACTGGATTACTGTAATGCGTCTGAATTGTTATATATGGTTTAACCATTGCTCAGAGACCCCTATTGGTGGAATCCTTGAAATTTAACACTACTATAACCCTGCTGTAACCGAGTGAAACCAATGATTTTAGAGTTACCATGAGAAAAGGCTTTTGAATGTTTGTCTTGCCATATCTTTCTCTACTGTCAATCTGTGTGCTCAATGTGCCGAATCACCAATGTATTGCTAAAAACACAACTCTCCGCAGAGCTTAGAGATACATTGGAGATTTGGAAGTAATGTCTTTGTATTAGCACACACACTGTTGGTTAAAGCCAGATAACTACATTTAGCTGAAGTAGTGTTCTGAGACACTTTTACACATTGTGTTAGATACACACAAAGTTTCGGATACACCAGGATTTACATTTTTGTCTCCCTAACTGTAAACTGGGACTGAGCTACGTAATTAGCTTGCTAACTGTCTGTTAGAAAGTCAGTGAGCTTGCTTGCTTCATTTACCCTCGGTAACTCTTTAATTAAATAAATCATGAATGCCAAGGAAAGTAGATGGTCCGTTATAGAGAAAAAGTATTGGAGCTGGTAAATCTAATCCAAGGCACAGTCTTTTTAATTGAGTTTTGGTGGCTTATATTTTCAAAAATACCACAAGGTCACCTTTTATGTAAGAAAAAATACATTACAAGCTTTCAGTAATAGATCGATGTTGCCCTCAGACATATTAGTCATGACTTGCAGAGCATTTCACCCCTGTTTCATGTTCTGCAAACTGCTTCACCAACAAAGTGTTAAATGTGTAACAGATGAGTGAAGACATGGTGGTACCTCAGTGGTATATGCTGTGGTAGCCAAACTGTGCCGAAATGTAAGCAACAATACTGCTTTTGTGGTAACATTGAAAAAATTTCTTATCCTGCATATTTCTTGCAATTAGTGGAATGGGTTTATGAGATCTCTAGTAGTTATTCTTAAATCGGTCAGCAGTACAGCAACAATTCACCAAACCTGCAATACATCCTGGCCTCTTCAGTGATGATTTACACTTTAATTGCTTCTCTGCTGTACTGCGATTACCTCCAGGCGGAGAGTTTGGAGGTTTTAAGAACACAAAGTGTATTAATTTCAGCAGATTTACCTGCACTTTTTTTACTAAGCATCCCCACTTCAGCATGTCTTGACCATCTAAAAATCAATGTAGCACTTAAAATTGTACCTTTTAGGTTTTTAACTGCACCACCTTGCACATATTTCATCAATGGATTTCCCCCAATTGGAATAAAATATAAATGTGCGTTAAGAATTCTAAGGAGCTTCATTTGGCGGCCCATTGCTCGCAATCAGATTTCGTGCTCATTTGGTTATAAAAGTTCAGAGTTGTCCCTTCATGTTTGGTCTGATGACTCCAATCCTCTTCATCAGGATGTTATCTCAGATTAGAGTCTCTGCTCTCTGGTTTTCCAGCTCCGGGGGGAGATGTTCATCCCTCCGAAAAATAATGATACAGTATGAACAAGGAGAGTAAATTAATATTTAAAGTGACATCTTTACATCTTTAATGATGTACACCTTCTCTATTTCAGCGTGTGAGCTCCCCTCTACAGGCGATGGGATCCCCCACCAAGCTGCAGCGCCTGGGATCAGCGTCCTCCGACATGCCCAGTTACGCCACGCTACAGAGGGTGTCCTCGCCCAAACAGTCCCCAAACCGGCTCGCCAAGTCCTACAGGTTGGTTTCGACTTCTGTCTGACCGGTTGATTTAATAAGGGCTGTTTAATAGCAGACCATTATGTAAGACTTTTGTATTGGACCGTAAGCACAAAGGAATTTATCTTCTGATCAATAACTCAGCAATTACCTGGTGCCGAGACTTCTGGCTTTGAAAAACCCTAAAGCTAAACGCAGCTAATTGCCCCTAAGGGGATTGGTAAAATCCTTTTGAATTGAATTAAAGCTTTTAGTCTGTTTTAAAAGAAACGTCCAGCTTGTATTTTTCATGTCGGACTAGCAGTACGCTACTACTTAGGGAATTTTCAAATTGAACTTTAACATGCTGTCCATACTAAGATGGGTCGAAACCAATTGAAGTAGTTCTGCAATGAGCATTACTACAGATGTATTGCAAATGTTATTCTAAATATAGTAAAAACATGGTTAAATGTCTAAAATAAAGTCTTAATCTGGTTAAATATGTGTAAAAATATATTTGTATAGCCTTGGAATTTGACTGAATGCATTGGACTACATGTCGACATAAAAATCTTTTAAAAATAGTATGTTCTGTAACTTGTCTAGGTGAAACTTACAACACATACATCTTGGACAAAGCTCCTGAATTGTAATCTTTACATTGGAAAATACATCCAGTGTGTTCACTTTGCAGTGTAACTGCTGTCTAGTAAAATGTTGTTCAAACCCACACATTTGAATATTGTAGAGATGCCAACATTGTTCAAAGATACAAACCATTGAATGACAGGCTGCCTTTTGAGTTTAATTAATTTCGCTTCAGAAGATTAAAGATAAATGCATGCTTTCTGTTCAAAATACTCTTCAAGCCCAAAGCATTTTACTTTCGAATAAATCTCCCTTCAACAAGTACATCGATTTTGAGTTCCCCTTTTTGTCTTAGATGATATAGATACGTTATAGTCTTAATCTCTTAGTTTTTGACAAAAATACCAACCAAACAATTTCATTTTCTCCTCCTGCAGCACTTCATCGCCCATCAACATGGTTGCATCGGGTGCCGCTGGCTCCTCCTCCCCGCTCCCCATGACAGCCTCCCCAGGGAACCACAGCTCGTCGCCCATCCACCAGCTCAGCTCAGTGGTGGGCAGCTACGCCACCCTGTCGCCCACCAAGCGCATGCTGCATCACATAGGACCAGACGGCTACAAGATTTCCCACGAGCTGTACGCCAACGCAACCCTGCAAAGGCCTGGTAGCCTGGCAGGTAGAGGTCAGGACAATTAAATGATTACTCTCTTATGTGTGGATGTGCGAAATCCATTTGTCATATATCCATTTTTAGAACTTGTCCAATTCAAAAGTAATTGAAATATATGTAGATAGCCTTCTACTCACCTGCCTTAAAGTGGACCTATTATGCTATATTGGAAACATATATTGTAGGGCCATACCTATACAAAACATGTCAGTGAAGTTTTTTGCTTAAAATACCAAACAGTTCACCCATTGTAGCCATGCTTCATACTGCTCATACTCCTCTTTTACAGCCCTGTTAGAGAAATGCGGATTTTGGGTCCTTAGCTTGAAAAAAAAAAAAAGAGGAGGAGGAGCTAATGCCTGATCAGAATTCTACTGGAGATAAAGTTAAATTCTGCTGTGATAAAACGTCATCCTGTTCTAAACCACATCAAAGATTATTTCTGAAACAGTATGGAGCTCAAATGCTTTTTCTCTTGCGGTTTATCACAAGGTGAGTTCTTTTTTTTATTTCCTGCTTTTTAAACACATGTGCTCTACAGTACAGGTTAGCTCTGATTGTTAGCGAGGCTTGCTAATGTAAACAAAGACGAGATTACGTCCAAAACACGTCAGGCATTGTTTCTGATAGCAATTTTCTGTGGGTCTGCTGGCGATTTGACGTCGGCAGCGAATCTGTATCCACTCTGTTTTTAAAAGATTTGGGTACGGAGGAAAAGAGAGAGTGTTTTATTTTCTGACGCTGCATGAGTTCCCCGACGCACCAGGGACACATATTTATGTATAAAAGACATCACAAAGTGCATTTTGCATGATAGGTCCCCTTTAAAGTTACAGAATTACATTAGTGACATGAAATAAGCTTCTTAATTAATAACCAAATACATATTGGATTTGTTATTTTAAAAACCTTTGTTAGTGATTCATTCAGAACTAATGCACAAGAACTATTGCTTGCTTTTTTACAATTTGTTTCACATGTGACATAGTGTATTAGTTTGACCCATCCTTCACCCCTCCCTCTCACGCAGCTCAGTAGAATTTAGCACTCGTCATACATATTCAGACTAACCCTTACCTAAAACCCTAGTAATAATGAGGATAGGCTAAAATTACTTGAATTGCCATTGAATTGCATCTCACACAGACACTTTGGCAATTTGCACCAACTGTGTGTCAGTATAAAGACGGCCACTAGTTAAGTTTCAGGATTTGAAGCCCCCAAGCATGTTAATCTGGCCATGACATGGTAATCAAGATATTACAGTTATTCATTAAATGTGCTTTAAGGGGTAGTTTAAAAAATAGAACTGATTTGCTTTAAATTATGGATCACCATTATTTATATACTGCTAATGATACCTAACCTCAACGTTCCCTGTGCCTTTCAGGCTCCAGAGGTTCCTACAGCAGCCAGCTCAGCCAGCTCAGCCAGCTCAGTCACCTGGGCGCTGAGCTCCGACCCCTGCAGTCCCCTGAACACCACATCGACCCTATCTATGAGGACCGAGTCTACACCAAACCCAACCTTAGAGGACAAGGTATGCTGAAAATAAAGAAAGTATGAGCCACTTCTATGAGGCTGATCAAAACTGATCACCCCCATTAAATTGGCTGATAACATTCAAAACAACAAAAAAGTTGTTGCTCATAACTGATTTATCTATCTAGAATAAGTAAATGCCTTATTACCTTTAATAAATGAAACCATAAAGTGTAACTTATAAACACTTTATGGACATCATTTATTAGTAAGTGGAATCAAAGAGGTAGAAGGAACAGGAGGGAATGAGGAACCTATAAAACACTACAGAGTAGATTAGAGTGAGAAGTGTGCTTCAAATAGTCCAGAATTATAAATAGCAACAGCTGTAAATCACCTACTGACCCTTCTAAATTTAGTAACATAGAGTAAAAGAAGACATCACATGAAACATAGAAGAATTGATGGATCAAAGTATTACTGTACAGCATACTGAGAGGTATACAGAGACATAGGTGATTTTTAATGGTGTAATATTAAAGGTTGCTGTATATTAGAGAGTTCCTCATCCCATCTGATCATGTAGAGCTATTTACCAGATCAGGTAGGCAAATCCAATTGGGGTCTCAATGGCAATTTGTCTCTCAGTCACAGTCTGTTAACTAATACCTTTCAAGGCTGAAAATTAATCTCAATTAATCCCATGGGCGTTAGCTTGGGTGCTTTGAAATCAAAGCAAATCAACCGTGTCCTAAAATGTTGTCAACACTTTGCTGCAGATTTGGTTCCCTGAACGATGTAGGTTGCTGTAAAGAGAAATACAGAGAGAGAAAATATGCAAGAAAAACCTCTCATACCACAAGGTGTTGTGCGTCGGCAACTGTGTTAAATGTTTTTTGTTAGTTTAGATATTTATGTTCCACTTCCTGTTTTATTTTTTGGTCCCTTTTCTTCCTGTCTTGGTTGTTTCCCCGCCATCGTCAGTGTCTGCCCCACCCCTGATTGTTTCCACCTGTGTCCACTTACCTCTAGTGTCCTGTCTCCCTTTGTTTGTTGCCAGATTGTCTTGTGTCTTATGCCAAACTCTCCAGCGTTATCCAAATTCCTCTATATCATTACGGTCATTGTTCACATATAGCCTAATAGTCAGGTAAGATCAGGTATAGTATTTTTCTAGGTATTTTGTAAGGTAATCGTTAGTGTAGATTTATCTTTGTATGTATTTTTCTGGATCTGTCGATCATGTGCTTTTGGTATTCATTATATTTTTGTACTATACTACTTTTCAAGTAAAGAGTATTTTTGATACTTGAATCCTGTGTCTGCATTCGTGCTTTTGGGTCCACTCCTTGTACATTCGTGACAGTACAATCTTGCCAAAACATTTAACACAGTTGCCGACGCACAACACAAGGTTAGGTTCCAAAATAATTGAGATTCACTTTTTTGATTAAAGGATTTGAGGTTGTGCTGGCTCACCACACACACACACACACACACACACACACACACACACACACACACACACACACACACTACACTACGACACTACACGACACACACTACACTACT